CGTCCTCTCCTCCTTCCTCTTCACGACGCCGCGTCCCATACCCTTTATATGAGCATCGCCCCTCGTCCCCGCTCAAAACTACCTGACAGGCCCGGCGCACTGCCCGGCGCAGGCCTCTGTCCACCAGGTGCCCGGCCGGGCCTCAGATGATGAATCCGCCGAGAGCCTCAGAGCCACCGCTGCGGGCCCGACTGCCATCATGTCACCCTCGCGCTGCCGGCGGGGCTCCGAGTCCGACCGTCAGTCACGGTTCCGAGGGAGCAGTGAAAAAGCGGAAAGTGAAAATCGCCATGAGGGCTGCCCTACAGACTCATGGGACCGACCAGGAGGAAGGGATCTGGATAGGGGAGCCAGCAGGGAAGTGGAAAGGGAACACACTGTATGTGGGGGTGGTGCTCCGTGGCAAGTACTATGCCTCTGGTGCGGATGTCTACATTCGAGGAGAGGAAGGGGAGAGACAGGTTTGTCCGGTGCCGCTCGTGTGATCTTGACTGACATGTGCTGGATGAAGTACATCGCAAGGATAACACGGATGTACGAGAGGGCGTCAGACTCAGCGAGGATGATAGGCTGTCGCTGGTACTATCGATCGGATGAGACCAACCTGAACAAAGATAAGAAGAAGTCTTCTTCTGGGGTTGACAAGAGCGGTGGTAGCTGTTGGAGCATTGATTCTGGTTTCAGGCAAACGACCAGGAGCTGTACATTTCTGACGTGGTGGATGACAATCCGGTGAACACGATTGAAGACCTGTGCAATGTTAGGTGGAAGCTAGATTGTGTGAAGATGTTTCTTATCCTGACTTCACTCAACAGAGCAAAGTTTCTCATTGAGGACATGAATGCTTGGCTGCAGCAAAGGTGGACCTTGAGTGATGAATGAAAGTCGTGAGAGTGGTGCAGAAACAACTTCACGTATAGCTTGAAATACGTGCCCACACTTGGAGTCGCAAGGGAACTCAGGTGGGTGCAGAGAGAAGGAATGGCTGGGTTGTGATTTTCTCTCAAGCGACAAGGACATTCGAGATTCGAAGGCTGCGTTTGCTGCCAACTCGCGGTCTGAACGTCTGACTCAAGCCTACCAGAGGTCAGCTCCTCCTCCCTTGTATGTCTGCACTGAGAGATGAGTAGTCTCGGCCGCTGCCAGTATGCTAGCCTTGAGGTACCGTTCCAGCATAAGGACGAGCTGGAGTCGCAGGTATGGTTGACTGCTGGAGGGTGGACGGGCTGACATTCTTCAACAGAATGTCACCGTCATCATCAAGCAAGGCAAGCACCGCACCAGCCTCAAGCAAGGAGCGGAGCTCTGCTGCGCATGGCGCTCTATTCTGTACGGAGTGATCTACAATAAGATCTCGGCGTTCAACAGGGAGAAGAAGGAAGAGCCACCCCGAGCGCAGACGTTGGCCAAGACCAAGAAGACAGAAGTACCTCTGAACAAGAAGCCCGAGAACGTCGCCAAGCAGAAGACGCCGGAGGAAGACTTCATTGAGAACCATAAGAAGATTCAATGGATCGGAAGTCCCGTGAAGACGGAGGGTACAAGGACTTACTACTCCAAGGTGCTGTTGGCCAACGGCACGGAGGTCAAGGTGGGAACGGCGGTGAAGCTGCTCGCCCCGGACGGAGAGCCTTCGTTCCTGGGGAAGGTGCAGTGCCTGTGGGGGAGCAGTAAGGATCATTTCAAGATGATGCGATGCAAGTGGTTCTACAGGCCCGAAGAGGCTCCGGGGTACAAGGGAACGGTCCATGCCCGGGAGGTGTTCATCTCCGAGCACCAGGACGAGCAGTACCTGACCACCATCGAGAAGCCCTGCACTATCATGCACGACTCGGAGATCCCGGGCGAGATCCGAGAAGACTTCCTGAAGCATCCCGACAACTTCTTCTATCGCATGAAGTACCTACCCGACCGCAACAACTTCGTCGTCCTGAAGGAGCCCGTGGCGATTGACCCTGTCACGGCAGCCAAAGACAGGCCGAGCTCTGCGTCCAGGGGCAAGAAGAAGTCAGCAGCCTCTTCCAAAGTCTCAGAGAAGCGAGGGAGCGACACGCCCACGGGCAAGGTGGCGGCAGAGAGCACGACGAAGCGACCACTAGAGGTGAAGGAGGAAGATGCGGCTCCGAAGACGAAGAAGATCAAGAGCGAGACGAGCGAGAAGGTCGCCGAGAGCGAAAAGAGCGACAAGAAGGAGAAAAGCGAAGAAGCTGAGACGGCAGCGGCAGCGGCAGCGGCAGCGGCACAGGAAGGAGGCGAGGAGAAAGGACACGACGAGTGAGTCCTGGGCTGCTAGTGAGGGTCGCTGACGCTGCAGCAGGTCGGGAGGGAAGGGCGACGCCTCCTTCCCCTCCTCCAAGGACGACTGGTACGCTGAGGAGTCGGAGGTGACCGATGCAGGGCCGCACATGGCATGGGCGAGCGACAGCGTGTTCGGGGTGAGTGTGGAGGGAAAGTCGCAGCTGGGGGAGGACGAGCGAACCTCGACCAAGGCAGGAGAGGAGGGGTCAGCGGTCGAGGAAGCGCTGCCGGAGAAGAAGGAGATGGAGGGAGCACAGCCGTGGCAAGCCTCCTCCTCTTCCCTCGAAGCTGAGCCGCATAAGCACGAAGACGGCGCGACTGAAAACACTCCCTTCCTCTCCTCCGCTAACTGGATCTCGAGCTTCGAGGTGGCTGACATCAACAGCTGAAGCGCTTGGGACCGCGAGGGGCTGCGAATGAGGAAGGAAAGCGGACATGGTTGTCCGGGGAGGAGAAGGGGAAGGAGGAGGAGAGGAGTAGAGTCTCTCAACTTGTACATGAATCATTAAGTCCCCGGTCTACTTCCTCTCTCCTCTGTTGCCGGCCGCACGTCCTGAGCAGTCCTGCCACAACCTTGAGGAGGAGCAGCCGTAGCAGCAGCAGGGAGCAGCTGGGATTTACCTGGGTAGCTGCCGAGAAGCTCTGAGCTCCGCGACGTCTTGAGCACTCAGGGGACGAAGTTCTTGCCTGCAGGAGAGTGTGAGGAGAAGTCGGCGAGAAGAGAAGGAGGGAGGGAGAGGGAGGAGGTGGGAGTGACAGGGAGGGAGGGGGGGGGGGAGGGGTCGTGGAGGGAGGGGCGAGCCGAGTCGGACCGTTGAGACTCGAACGAGGAGGCAGCTCCTGGCACAGCCGGTCTGATGAA